TTTCTGCTTTCATTTACATGTCACCTCCTCAGAGAGGCCTTCCCTGACCACTCAACCTGATGCTGAGGTTAGGCCTTCCATCAACATACCTCACTGATGACTACTTGGTATTTTCTTCTGTACGGACTGCTGCCCCATTGAGTATAAGCTTCATGAGAACAGGACCCCCAGTCTGTGCAGCATCCCCAGTTTCTAAAATGGTACCTGGTGGTCCATTGGGACCACCATTGGTCTAAAATGGGACCATTTTGGTGGTCTAAAATGGGACTTCCCTGGTGGTCCAGTGGTTAAGAATCTGCCTTGTAATGCAGGGGACACAGTTTGGCTCCCTGATTGGGGAACTAGGATCCCACATGATGCAGAGCAACCCGACCTGTGGAACCACAACGCAGCTACTGAGACCGAGCCCTCAGAAGCCCCAGTGCCACAACTAGAGAATGCATGCACCGCAGTGACGATCCCGTGTGCTGTGACTAAGACGTGGCACAGCCAAATAAATGAACATTTTTTTAAAAGGGATAAATTTTTTTTTTTTTTTAAATTGTACCTGGTACATGGAAGAAACAAGAACTGTAGGAAACCTTTTCAGTAACCGGGTTTCAAGCCTGCGTGTGATGTACCCTGGGAAAAAGAAAGACCGCCGTGTGGGAAGAAGGAGCAGGGTGTATCCAGAAATAAGAGAGAGGCTGCGTGTAAGTCACATGAGTGTGAGCAGCAAGAGAAACTGCAAAGAGCAGGAGCAGAGCTGTGGAATCTGGAAAACCCTATATTTGAAAACTCTGCCTCTGACATCAAGGTGATCCTAGGTTTTGATTGAGCCTCTGTGATGAGTTGGGCTGACCCTCGAAGGGAGACACTCCAGGCAAAGGTGGATGTGTAGGACAGGACACAAGGCGGGAAGCATGGCTGGCTGGCTCTTCTTCAACGGCCACCAGAGGAGAGGAGGACAGAAATGGGAAACAGGCTCGAGGAGCTGCAGGGACGCAAGCAAGCAGTTCTGTCCTGCAGTGTGCGGCCACGGCACATGGGGACCGGGAGCTGCTGCCCATCTTATGTGCCAGGGACCCTTATCATCAACCAGGGACACTCCAGGGGCCATTCACATCTCTGGCGGTACTGAGTGTTGTGTGACCTTTATTTCATTAAAAAAAAAAAGTATAAGTGTTCTGTGCAGCAAATGCAGATGACACATACACAAATTTTTTTTAAAAGATTTTTTTGATGTGGATCATTTTCCAAAGTCTTTATTGAATCTGTTACAGTATTGCTTCTGCTTTATGTTTTAGTCTTTTGCCCGCAAGGCAAGGGGAATCTCAGCTCCCAGATCAGGGATCGAACCCACACCCCCTGCACTGGAAGGCGAAGTCTTAACCACTGGACTGCCAGGGAAGTCCCCACAAAAAAATTTTTTTAAGTTACCTTTCTAACAGTGTCAGCTTTTAGCCCAGGAGATTGAGTTTTCTCCCTTTTCATTAAAAAGGTAATACTTTCACATGGTTCAAAATTCAAATGTCATGAAAGGGTAGAGAGTACAAAATGCCCTTCCCATTTGATTCTCCACCTTCCTCTCAGGTCTCCTCAGAGATGACCAGTGTAAACAGATCTTGCATCCTTCCAGAAATATTCTCTGCCCATGCAAGTTTTTTTTTTTGACAAGATTAAATCGGAACAAATCTACTTAGAGTGCACGAAGAGGCCTTTCCTCTGAGTAAGTCAGGGCTGAGGGCTGGGTTCTTCATTTTCGCTGGTAAGGAGAGACAGTAGTAATAGGAGCCTGCGGGGGCTGGGGGAGGGAGCAACCTCCTCTGGGTTCATTGGCAGATCACTTAGCACGAAAGGAACTGTGATGGAAGGAGGCTGTGGTCTGCCACGTGTCAGGTGCTTTTTATTTAGGACAGAGCTAGTCTAGCTTCCCCGGTGGGTTTTCTTGGTGACTTAGTGGTAGAGAATTCAGCGTGCCAATGCTGGAGACACAGGTTCGATTCCTGGGTTTGAAAGATCCCCTGGAGAAGGAAATGGCAACCCACTCCAGTATTTTTGCCTGGAGAATCCCATGGACAGAGGAGCCTGGCAGGGTACAGTCCATGGGGTCGCAAGGGTCGGACACGACTTAGCGACTAAACCACCACTACCAGTCTAGCTTTAATGAGGGTGGCTAAAGGCACATTGTTGATGGCAAAAGAAATCATGACTGTCATGTGTGAGGTGATAGGGAAAACATTTCCATTGGGTAGATAAGGGCCTTCTCTGAAGAAGACGTGTGGAATGTAAGCTTGGGAGAAGAAAGCTGTCTTCTGTAAGCCACCCAAGATGTATCTTCTTAAAAGGGAGTCACTCCACAATTGAACCGTGAGGATGCACAATTGAACAAGGAGTAAAACAGGAGAGCTAGAGAGACTTCCCTGGTGGTCCAGGAGTTAAGAATCTGCCTGCCAACACAGGGTTCCAATCCTGCTTCTGGAAGATTCCACATGCCACGGAGCAACTAAGGCGTGTGTGCATGCTAAGTCGCTTCAATCATGTCTGACTCTTTTCAAACCTATGGTCTGTGGCCTGCCAGGCTCCTCTTGTCCATGGGATTCTCCAGGCAAGAATATGGAAGCGGGTTACCATGTCTTCCTCCAGGGGATCTTTCCGACCCAGGGATTGAACCTGAGTCTCTTATACCTCCTACACTGGCAAGCAACTAAAGCCCAGGTGCCATGACTACTTAAGCCCATGCGCCTAAAGTGTTGTTCACTGCGACAGGAGAAGTCACCACAATGAGAAGCCCGAGCATCGCAACCAGAGTAGCTCCTGCTTGCTGCAACTAGAGAAAGCCCACACACAGCAATGAAGACCCAGCACAGCCAAAAACAAACGGACAAACCAAAACCAGAGAGCTAGATTCCCCGGTGGCATGCCAGGCGATTGATAGCAGTAGGGTGGAGGATGGGGACCAGGTCTGGGAATTAAGTTAAAATGGATCTGACATCTCCCAATTGGAGGGAGGCCAGATTCTGAAGGTGGAACACTTCAATGAAGTAGGGGAGAGGGCACCTGGCAAATCAGACAGCTCCCACAACGGGAGATCCAACTGAACGCATCTGGCAAGGGGGCAGTCTTGGCCAAAAACTGGGAGAGGCAGAAGGGAATGGGTCTGGAGTCAGACTACTGGGCTCAATGCTGGTTTTAATATTTCTCGGCAGTGTGAACCTAAGCAAGTTAAACTCCTTGTGCCTCAGTTTCCTAACAGAGATAATACACAGTGGTAATAATAGCCTCTCATAGGGGTGCTGTGTGATCACCTAAATCAACCTCCAGTGAGGGCTTAGAACAATGCCTGGTGCATAGCTTACTCAGTGCTTTTCAATCATACCTATTTTTAATAAGGACCTGTTCAGGCCAGTTTTGCTGGCAGAGAAGTACTCCGCGATGAACCAGGACAAGCAGAATCAGAGATGGATTTCAGGTAGGGCTAGGAGGGATAAGGTGGGGAGATGAACAAAGAATACACAAGAAAAATCAGAAAGGCTGAAGACTAAAAGTTCAGGGTGGGGCTATTTCAGAGAACATAGCCTGCAGCAGGTCTACAATGTTCAAAGCTCGATTGTGTAAAGGAATACTTTGGAAACTAAGTGGAGAAAGCTGAATTTCAGTTAAAGAAGCATTCTTTTTGTGTTCACTTAGAGCTCAAATTATACTGTTAAGGAGAATGGCCAGTTTGCATAGAAGGAACCCTAAGATCTATATAAAGTTAGGAGATTTGAGTTTTAGCCCTAGTTCTGTCCTAAGTAGTTGATGCTGTACTTAATGAACTAACAACTGTATCGTTTTGAAAAGAAGGGGCCAGACCTAGGTCCTAGGCCTCATGAATATTTAACATTCTGATTCTAATTCAAGAACGGAAAACAGGGTCTTAAGAGAATTTCAGAGTTGCCCACCTTTCCACGACTCCTTCCCTCAAATAAATCCGTTAAGACTAAGAACGTCTATATTCCTCTCCTTTTTCCCAGGTCCCTTGCCAAAAGGAGCAAGATTTGTAGAATGCTGGCATTGGGAGAGAGCCACTACTTCTTTTCCCATCCATTTCAGGAAAGTTTAGGTTTTCAGTTACTCCTCGGTCTGCCAAGAGTTGCTTCCAGATTTAAGTAGGAAGAAGGGGAGGGGGCGGGGAAAGATTTGCTTAAAGGAAGTGAAGCTTGTTTTGCCTGTTCTCTGGGAGAAGGTGGTGGCAGGTAGACTATGACTGTTCAGCTTCAAACTATCGCTTTAAAACACTCCCTGAAGGGTGGAATCTGGCCCAACCAGGATTAAGAGATACTGATTCACAAGGTGAGGTACAATGTACACATTAAATCACGGCCTCTCCTAAATGGTCAACAAAAAGCTTACAAACTCTCAAATAAGTGGCATCTCAATTAGGATGCTTGGCTAGGGGGATGTGCTGGTTGGAAAATAACTTGGCTCTAATTCTGTGACCTTTAGGGCAGGACTGGGTTGTTTAGAAGAAAAATCTACAGTTGAGGAAAAATGGTGTTGTCCAAGGGCTATGAACCTGCATCTTGTTTGCCCGTCATCCTGTCAGTCATTTTCCTTTTTTTTTTTAAAGAAGACAAAAATCTGAAGTCAGAAACACCGAATTCCAAGTTTTTTCCAGGAGCGAAGGCCCCATCTCTAGGACACTGTACTAATAATACTGTCCTGGCCTATTCCGCGCCTGGGATCCCCTAGTTTTCTCCGAGGGGTCCGCACTGCGGGGCGCAAACCAACAAACCAGCTCCAAACCAAAGGTTCCATCGTCAGCCAATAGCTGGCTGGGACCCCTCAAGAAAACCAGAGACACCTACAGAAGACGAGTGGCATTAAGACCAGCCTATCCGCGGGGAGGCAGCTGAAGGGGGTGGGGTCAGAATTAGCCAATAGTCTTCAAGTGGTTGTTGTTAGGCGGGAGGAGGACGCCTGCGAGCGTGCGTGAGGCCGCTCCCCGGGAAGGGGGTGGCAGGAAGCTCGAGGAGCCAATGGCCGCGGCGGGCGGGCGGTGGCGCGCATGCGTACTGCTACCAGGGGCTGCGGGCGGGAGGCGGGGAGGGTGGGGGAGGGGAGCGGGCAGGAACGCGGCGGACCTGCTGCCGCCGCTGCAGCCGCCGCCGCAGCGAAGAGGCCATGTTGTGTGGTGTATGGGGCGGGGGGAGGAGGAGGAGGGAGTAGAGCCGAGAGAGGAGACGGGAGAGAGACACCACACACACACGGCACAAGATGGCCGGAGAGGCAGCAGCACCCCGAGCTGTCAGGCGTTTCACCGCGGCCGCGGGGCCCGCCGGCCGGCGAGGAGCTGCTCCCGGGCGGCCCGCAGACCCGCGGGAGCAAAGCGGCCGTGGCTGGGGGGCGAGGCGGGCCGCGCGCCGGGCTGGGAGCCCGCGCGGCAGAGGCGGCCGGGGCGGCCGGGCCCACGACGTGGAAAGCGCCGCTGCGGCAGCGGCCGCCGAGGCTCCCCGGGGCCCCGGCGGCCCGACCCGTACGGGCGGGAGGCTCGGGCGGGCGCCCTGGCGCGGGAGTCGGGTGCTGGAGACCCGGAGGGGCCGGCCGCGGCGTTCGGACCCGGTGAGTGGCTCCCCAGCTCCTTTTATTGTCCTTTGTCCTTGGGAGGAAAAGCAAAATGTCCTTGAGCGCGCGAGCAGGAGGGGGCGGCGGGCCGGGCCTCGCGGGCCGGCTCTCCCCCGGCGGCGCCGCTCGCTGGCTCTCCGGGCGGGAAGCGCCGCGGGGCCAGGGGCTGGGGGCGCGGGGCCCCGCTGCAGACCCCGCGGCGGGCGGGGGGCCGCCTCGCTGCCCGGACCGGCCCCGCGGGGAGAGGGGCGGCGGCGGCGACCGCGCGAGGAGAGCCCCCGTCTGTCCTGGTGAGTTATTTTGATATTCAGGGTAAGGAAAAAAGAATCCCCTTTTCACGTCCTTCCAACGGGGGAGTTTTTTTTTAACCCCTTTCCCGTGAGGTGGAAACTCATCTTCGTGGTCGAATTTAAAAGAACAATGGAACCCTGACTACGTTTCAACAAAAAATAAAAACTTGTTTTTTTTTTTTTCTTTTGGGTGTTGGCTTTTAACTCTTTCCAAGCCGATTTTGAAAACGGCTGCAGTGTTACAGATGAAAAGGTAGTTGCTGCTTGTTCAACCCTTTATTGACGTTAAGGTTGTCTTTTTAAAAAATGCAAGTTGGAGGAGTGCTTCTGGTATTTCAAAAATTACGAAGCCAAGTTTACTATGTCGTCAGGGCTGTTTAATGGAAATAGATAATTACGGTGCTAGACGATGACGTTTGATTAAGGTAGTTTATTTTACTGAGTAATTACGCCAAGATTGTTTGACATTCTGTTGTTTGAACAATGATTAAATCTACTGTTGGGGTACTTTTAAAAAGGTCATAAGGAGCCGTTATCTGTAACTTAACCACACCTGAATGTTAGGAGGTACTTGGGTCAGTTCCTCGACTTTTAAAAGTTTAAGTTCGTCGTTTGAATATTTTTAAAAATAATGTATATCCTCACAAGCTGTGGTCGACAAAACTTTTGCAAAGGAATATTCAGACACCAAATCCCTTTGTGAAGTTACTTTCTGGTAGTGTAAATATTAAAGTAGGATTGCTCGGTAATGGGCGATGAAGAGGAGCCATATTTGTTGCATGCATAAAAATCCAGTTATGCTCAAAATGGAACAGTATTTTAATAGTGTATTATGCTTTTTAAAAAAATTTGTAGAGTCCCCTGTACAGTCTAGAAATTTGAAACATTGAGAGGGAATTTAAGTTTAGTGATTTGAAGAACAAACCACAAGTGCACAAAACCTTTGTGTATTTTAGAATATATTTGTCTTCGTCCTGCGGTAGCTCATGTGTTGTTGTGGAGGTGAAGATCTACGTAAAAATAGTGTTCGGAAGATTTACGTAGTACTTGTAAAATCAAAGGTACTGTTGTATTTTTTAATGTTTCTGAGGGTATTTTTCTTAGTGAAATTGTTTTATTTTCCGAATAGCATTCATATACTGCTTGCTACACGTTACATCAGTTGCGCATATCTTGATTTTACAGACTCTGTTGTTTTAACCGTTTTGGTTTTTCAAATCAACGTTTTTGAAATTTTTGAACACTGCAAGTCGTTTTACATTAATATTCTGAATCTAGTTTTTCAGAATCCTCTAAATAGCAAAAATGCAAAATAATTGCTAGCTGTTTAACCTCATAAGATCTTTTTACATGAGAAATGGGGGAAGGGACCCTGAAAATGTTGGAGATCTCAGTTTGAAATTGAATAAAGATCATAGATAGTACATGTTTTAGACTTGCTTTAAAGACAAAGCTAATATCCCACTTGGTGAGATCAAATAACTTGTGGTTTAAAAATTTAAAGTAACCAGTAGCCATTTTAACTTCACTAATTTCTCCTGGAGTTAATTTTTAATTGCTCATTCTTGTAAAAGGTAGTTCTAGATGGTAAAGAAAATTTAAGATGATTTCAATCTTTACAAATGGTAAACTTCTTTTGTTTTTGTGTATTGCTTAGCATCAAAGAAAAATAAAAATGAAAACAAGGTCATAATCTTAAACCTGTCCAAAGATGTGAGTTTTTTCTTTTTTTAATCTCAGTGCCTTATCTAATGTTTATCCATGCAACTAAAAGATGAGGAAAACAAAGACTGATAGATACTGTGATAAATAACTGCAACCTTAAATGTACAGGTAGCATGTTGATGAGCCATCTCTTGAATTTATCCAATGATCATGTCTCTGGAATATTTTCTCATTGTTTCATCACACTGAAACTTTGGCCAAGAATTGTTCAAAAATCAAAACACTGATATTATCTTTTTTTTTTTTAAGGTAACTTACAAGATTAAAATTAAATTTGCTTGACGATTCTGAACAAATGCGCTGTTTTATTTGAGGTAAGAATGGGTAAATTTTACTACTTTGAAGTAAAAGTAAGCTTATTAGGTTTTCAGTTTCTTTGATAATTTATATTTTTGATACTGATTATGAGTAAATATCTGAAATAATTTTACAAAATCTTTAAACCTTTTCTTTGAGAGGTCTTACTTGCATAGCTATTGTAACTTAATGTGCCTTTTGAATAGTTTAAAATATTGAAGGTCCTTTAAGCCTTTGTTTAATTTTGGGACCAAGAAAAAGACTGATTACACTTTCAGGAAAACCATAAACCAAAGATATGCTTTTCTTTTATACTGTGCAAACAGTTTTAATCTTTTAATATTAAATACGTTCATTGGAAAATTAAATCTAGTTACTATTCATACTAACATTTTAGGGGAAAGTGTTTTAAAAATTAGGGTTTTGTGAGCATTGATTTTAGTTTTTGTTCCTTTTATGAAATAAGAACTTTAAAAACATGTGTTCCTACTTGGCTTTTGGTGGTTCCATCAATAAATTGTTTAGAATATTGTTTTCTTTCCCCCCCAAAAGGTATGCCATTTTGAAGACTTGAGACCATGGAATTTTATCCTTGAGGATAAATCTTTGTGATAGTCTGTATTTTGTATAGCAAGTAAGTAAATGTTTTAACCCAACATACGAAGTCTAATAGCTACCAACATTTGAATAGGAAAATATCAGTAAAGGTCGTCAATGTGACATAAATTGTAGAGTTAATCTCGAAAAAGGGATGAGAAAAAGCCCATCAAATGCATTTCCTTACATCAAAGCAGTTTTGTGCTAATGTTAAAACAGTTGATACATGTAATTTATATCAGCTGTGAGACATTCAGTACTTTTCAGTTAAATGGTGATTTAGATTTATGGTTAAATCAGAAGTTGAGTCGTCATCTTTACAATCTGGAAGGTACATTCTTCAGCCATTTTTTTGATAATACAGATTATGTTTTAGAAATGGCGTAGAATTTTTGTATCTGCAGATCTTACAATTCTTAAAAGAACTGTATTTCAAAAACTAAGTAGACCCTTTCATAGTCTAGTTATTATTTAGTGGATTTAAAACACTTGTTTTACCTATTTTTGTGAGTCTTTCTTCCCAAACAGGTACAAAAATAAGTTATTTTACAGGAAACTAAAATGATATGACTAAAGAGACTTGTTACCTGTAGCTTACTAAGTCTTTAGAGCTTGAGAGGAAGGAATAATTTCAACATGTATATGATATTTTGATATCCTAAAATTAGATACATGAATGAAAAAAATAATTTTCAGGAATAATTTCTCACTCCTTAACACTGAGTGTGGAAATTAATGTCAAGTGATATTAGCAAGGGATTTACCAGAGGAAATATGGAATATAATGAGATATCTTGGGAAATTTTAAGAATAGTCAAATAACCAATTAATTCGTATAAGGGCAGGTTTGCATTTGTTCTTATAATTTTTGTGGATAATTTATCATTGGTGTTAGCTTATTCTGTTGATTCAAATCGATGATAAAGGTAATATTTTTATTTCTTTTGCTTTAGCTTAATTTTTGCTTTTGGTCCTTTTGCAGTTTGGTCAAATTTGTGGTTATTATAATGTACAGAAGAAACCAAATGTTAGACCTTTAACAGTAATGCTTTAAAGATGTCATATATGTAAAGTCAAGACATCTTTCATCCCAAGCATCCTTAATACAAATACCAAGGTTAGGGTTTCCTTGTAAATGATAGGATGTTATTTTGGCATTCAGATGTGCTTGGACACTGTTGTAAAAATTGAGACTTGAACTTCTTAAGACACAAATGTATGTGAAGTTTAGGGTAAGTTTAAGTAGAAATTGGCAGTGACTTATAATAGACTACCAAGGTTGTAATTTGAATCCATAAAATTAAAAAAAAAAAGACTTTAAAAACGATTAAAATGCTAAATGGAGATTTTTATCTTTCTTTGTCCAGTATTAATCATTATAAAAATAGTTCAAATGATATAGAAACTCCTAAATTAACATAATGGAGTTCAGTTTTCCTTTTTATCACCAACAAAATAAAAGATTTTAATAAGTCACATTTTAAAAAGATCTGCATGTCCTTTGACCTTCATCATAATACGGTCAGTGTTTTGAAATCTGCTGAGCCAAGCTTGTAAAATTGGCAGTATTTCTGGTAGACAAAAATAATGGATACATGAGAGCAAATATAACCAAAGATACCATTATTTTAAGTTACTATATTTCATAAAAAAGTATTTAGTTTATTACTACTTTCTGTTTGAGTCAAAGTTACAAATACTTATATATTTGTTTTTATTTTAACATTTTGAATTCTTGAATCAAAATCATCTGATCAGGTTTGAGATTGGATTCCATTGTGTTTATCATTGTGACAACAACTGTTTAAAAAATTCCCTGGAGTTCCACAGATATGAAGGAAGCCATGCCCATAGTTAACAAAAGGCTTCCATGGACTACTACATATATAATTAGAGGCTAGATTATATGAAACCGGTAATTTTGAATATGAATTTTCTTTCAAGCTTAGTTTACTATTGTTCACAGTTTCTTAATTATTTAAAATTTTGGATTGTGGACAACCAATTAATTTGCCTCTTTTACTCTGATTTTCTTTGTTGAGAGGGAAAAAAAGATAACTTGGGGATATCTCCATCTTCTCCATTAATGAGAGGTGTGTGAAAGAATGGAAAGAATAACTGATTCAGCAGAGAGGAGACCCAGCTTCTAATGTGAATTAGTTCTGTAATCTTGACATTTTATTCACTGTGGGCTTTAGTCTTCCTAATTTGTATAAAATATTTGGAGTTTCCCAGTCTCACACCAGTTTGCTCTTAAATTGTGTGGTAAAAATAATAGTGTCTAATTCTCTTAAACTGGAGAGCAGTTTTTATAATTTTTGCATTGCAAATTGTAGATGTTATTTCTGTGTTGAAGTTATTTGACTAACTTGAGACCTGGGCCAGTAGTATACCTGACTTTCCTAATTTTGATGGTGGTCATCAAATTGTGTCTGACTCTTTGTGACCCCATGGACTATAGTCTGCTAGGCTCCTCTGTTCATGGGGTTTCCCAGGGAAGAGTTCTGGAGCGGGTTGCCATTT